TTCTCTTTCTTATTCTGTTTTTATCGCACTCTACAAATGACTAGCACGTACTTTGACGTTATCATAGTTGGGGCCGGTGTGTGAAAACCTTTCACTCTCTCCCTTCTTGCCCTCTCCCTTTCCCCTTATCTGGATACTACCTGCCCCACCCATCTTACCTACCTACCTCATTGAACCCCCCTCCCGTTGATCAAATGTTACACCCTACTGAGACTTTCCCAAAAAAAAATCCCTGGAACAGGTCCCTTCGGTATCATTGCTGCAAAAACCTACCTAGAACTGAACCCCACGGCGACCTTAGCCCTGCTGGAAACCGATACTTCGTTGGGGGGAGCATGGAGCAAGAATCGAGTCTACCCTGGCATGTACTCGCAGTCCCCATTGGGAATGATCGAGTTTAGCGATGTGCCAATGAAACCAACACCACAGCACTATAAGAATTACGTTCCCGCACACCACGTACACGAGTACCTAGCGTTATACGCTGCAACGCATATATATGATGGAAAGAGCATCAAGGACAGGATTCGCCTAGACACCCGCGTTGTTAGTGTCCAGAAGTTGCGCAGTCCACGGGATGGAACGGGCAGCGAAAGTAGGAGGAGGGGGAGTACTTGGGTTGTTGGCACGGATTGCGGACAGACGATGGTTTGCTCGAAGCTTATGATTGCTACCGGGATCACGTCGAGGCCATATATTCCCTTCTTCAATACTCTAGATTTTACACCCCCTATGCTGCACACGAAGGATTTAGCGAGACTGGCACCGATGTTCATGGAGTCGGAGGGCGTGCGAAATGTGATTGTGATTGGGGGGTCGAAATCTGCGTTTGATGCGGTCCATATGTTCATTTCTGCCGGGAAGCGAGTGGATTGGATTATTAGGGATAAGGGATCGGGACATGCCGGGGTCGGCCTGGCGGAGCGTACCCCAGTCTATTACAAGAATTCGCATCAGATATTGTCGACGAGGTTGATGTCCAAGATGAGCCCTTGTATATTCCAACCGCACGACCACTGGATGCACTTCTTTCACCAGACGAGGGTGGGCCGATGGGCCACTGACATGGTCTGGAACACTATGCAATTCGCCTGGCTTAAGGCAGCGAGATGTGGCCATAGCGGCGATGCGTCTGGCGCCCGACCCCAACTCCCGTGAGTCCCCCTTCCCCCCAAGTCGCAATCCATCGACAACTAAGGAAATGGGAAAAGTATGTTCTGGTGCTCCGATAATGTCGGCGTATCCAACTCCCCCAACTTCTGGAACACTATGAGCCAAGCAAATGTCCACCGCTCCTCCGTAGACCTCCTTGAAAACTCCTCGGTAATCCTAGCAAACACCACCATCCTCCCTTGTGACCTACTGATAATGTCCACTGGCTGGGACATAACTTTCCCCTTCTTCACCCCAGCCGACGCCTCAAGCCTCGGATTGCCAGTACCAATAGCCCATCAGTCACTCGTTGACAGCAAAAAATGGCAAACCCTAGAAGCAGCAGCCGACTGCACCATTCTCAGTAAGTTCCCCAAACTCGCCACACCTCCGAATTTCGACCGATATCCGATGAACACGACGCAATTCTACGTGTACCGGGGCATAGCCTCACCGCAGGAGGCCAGCGGGGGGGACAATTCGATAGTATTCCTGGGGCAAGTAGGCGCGGCACAAAGCTTCCAGATCGCCGAGACGCAGAGTATCTGGGCGGCCGCGTACCTCATGGGAAAGCTTAAGCTGCCGAGCATGGAGGAGATGGAGATGGACATTGCCCTTACTAATGTTTGGAGGAGGAGGCGGTACCTTTCTGCTGGAGAGCGGAAGCCAATCTTTACGCATGATGAGCTCGCGGTAATTTTTCTCTCCCAATCTTGCGAGTGAGATTATGTGATGATACTGATGATTTTTTCGTTTCGTTTTTTGGTGATTTGGCTAGTACGTATCACTGCTACTCCGCGACCTAGGAATCAACCACAAGCGCAAAGGGGGGGTGTTAAAGGAGCTGTTTCAGCCCTACTCTAGTAGAGATTATCGTGGGATTTTGGAGGAGTGGAGGAGGATACAGAAGGAGATGGAGTGGGACAAGGTGGAGAAGCGGTCTGAGGGGTCTCGTACAGATGTTGTTTGAATCACTTATCGGGGCAGGGCACGAGAGGGAAGGGCACAGCGAAAACGTTTCCTCAGGACTGTATTGTTAGCATTATTCTGGCGCGATATTTCCGCCCATCTGCTATTTCTCTCGTGTAAAAGTTGGCGTCGCAGACGGGCCAAACCAGAAGTGGCACTGGAGAAGGAAGGTCATCAAGACAGGACATCATAGGATAAAAAGAGCAATGTTAACGAATGAAAGTCAGCCAAGTGCCATACTCGCACGAGCTTTGGTCATCCCAGCAAATGCAGCACCAAGAGGCTGGAACAAAAGCAGTAATAATCCAAGCTTCGACAATAAGAACCCCCTAGCTACAACCTACTAGTACAGTTACATGATTGGCCACGTCAAGCCCGGTCCCAACCAATCAACCAGAACCAATCAACCAATAGCTAAAACCAACCGAGTCAATCACTGACCATAACCCCAAGCCCCCAACACCAACCAATCAACAAAGCCAAAAAAAAGAAACCCCGAACGCCCCCCCCCCCCTGCAAACCCCTTCCCCATCCCATCCAGAGAAGCCAACATCATCACCCATGCCAACAACCGAGTGATATTCCATGATTACATCCTAGCGCTTACGCGCATGCACGCATGCAAGGCGGGATGACGTGCAGGTCGTATGTTCTGTACGATGCGAGTGTGATACCGGTATCACACTTAGGGGGGCGTGAGCATAAGTCAAGCGAACTGTTCTAACCGGTATGATAATAAATAAAGGGAGTATGATAGAAACCCAGTTATGATATTAATAACCCCATGAAATCGGCTGTCTGACCGAATCGCACTGGTCTATTGATCCATCGACTTAGAGGTATCGTAGTCTAGACTTACTTGGTACCATGATATGTTCGGTGTATGGTCCGGGCGCGGAGGTGGGAGCGATGGGGGAGGGAGGGGGGTAAATCGCTATTTTCTTTCTTTTTTTCCAGGGGTGGGAAGGAATGGTGTTTGTGCGATCCTATATTTTTGTCGAAAGTTCAATCGCCTTCTCGCTGGAGGGGGTAACAGTGAATTTGCGCTTGAACAGAGCTCGCGTGGTGTATAATTACCTTATGATATAATAATTATGATACCTGCGGATCTGCTCGAGTATCATACGGTTTGCTGGAACCTCGTGGTCATTAGAGTGCGGTGTTGATTCTCTATCATATCATACGTACGAGTACGAGTTCTCCTTCCCCGCTTAACTACGAATAGTTATCGTACAAATACACGCGCACAGCTGGCCGCGCCTGACACCAAAAACACGTATAAATTGTCATATCCCTCTATCATACCCTATCATACATCATAATATTATGTCATCAAATGCCAAGCCACCAACCCCCACCTTTCTTTCATTCAATGATCCAGTGTGATGCCGGTATGGTAGAGGTAAAACGTATGAATTTAACTATGGTACAATACACAAACGCTCGAGCACGGAACTCGCGCGCTGCGAATTCCATGTTCCAGGAAAGAATGCCTCCCAGCGCTTCTCCTCGATACGCTACTCTGCTCGCGCTTCGTTCGCGAGTCGGCCCTGTCATTTATATCGCGGTCGCTCCGTGGCCCGGCGTCAGGAGTGCATGATGCGTGCATGGCGCAATTACATTACAGTATCATACAAGCACGGTAAAGTGCTCAAGTACGAGTACTCGAGTACCGCTTCAGTGCAGTGCCGCCGTACTGTACAGTACCGTGCTCTGCATTAGTGCATGGGTGGATGAATGTGAGTGAATGAATGGACCTGCTCCAATTGAAAATGCCAGAAGGGTTAACTCATTCCATATTATATGCAATGTGGTATTGGTATGTATGATGAATGGATGAATGATTACGCCCAGGGTAATGTAATGTGATGAGTAACAATGGAAATGGGAGAAAATGAAACAAGCGAGCAAGCGGAGAAAAGCGAGGATGAGGGGAGGGGATGAAAATGAAAATGGAAAAATTGAAAAGTGAAAAAATGTGTGAAAAATGTGAAAAATGAAAAAATGAAGAGAAAATGCAATGCACGCCTGCTGCTGCTTATGACATTACCCGTCCGTTCCAGATCGACTTCATGTGCCCCCCCTTCCTCTGCTGCTTCTATGCAAAGAAACGGGCATCTGCTACCTTCTCCTGCCCCTGCCCCTAAAAATCTCTGCGTCTGCCCCTGGCGATCTGGGCCCCATCATGCACCATGGCGGAAAAATAAGATGATGAGGTCAAGGGGAAAGAAAAGAGCGGAAATGAACAGAAGCTAGCTAAAAAAAGGAAAGGGGGAGAAAGGGAGAAATAATATCTACAATACGAAAAAGTAATGGCTACCCTACCCAACCTACCGCTGCCCCAACGGAATCCACCCACAAACCACTTGCCACTAAAACCAATCAGAGCGAAAACACTTAAGCCTAAGTTCCCTCAACTCCCTCACCTCCTTCCCCGCCATCTCATGTACAGTAGGAATCGTCTTGAACGCAAGCGGATCAGTAGAGTCATCATTATCACCAACAATCACGTGTGTAAGACTATTCCCGGCAGGGAGAGCTTCGGCAAGGGCGGAGATGTAAGAGATCATGAGCCCTGTGCTCTCGGCGTCCCAGTGGATCCACGGGAAGCGTAGGTCAGCAGCGCGCACGCTAGGCGGAAGAGTCGGGACGATCTTGTAGAGCTAGTGAATCGAGAGGAACCAAGGAAAGACGGGGAGGAAAGGGTAAAAGTCTCAGCAAGAACGTTCATGAAGTAGATTTCATTTGAGTGTTAAAAAAACAAAACGGAAAAAGCGGGAACGAGAGAAAAAATCAACAAAAAAGGTTAGATGGAGGGTTTGTTGCATACATCTTTCGGATGAATGGCGTAGCTCATTCCTATCTCTCGAAGGTTCTCAAAGCTTTTCATGACGTGTAGGGCCTTCAGGGGGTAGTATAGCGATTCACCATGCCAGTTTTGGTTGTTTCTAAGACAGAGAGACAGGACCTCCAATGTCTTGCTGGATTCCGAAAACGCAGGTATCAACTTTAGTATCCCTTCATCGGTAAAAGAGCTCAAGTCCAGGCATAGGACCTTGAGACGTTTGCATTTGGCGACGAATCGTATAATATTGGAGACATCACCACAATCTTCCCAGGAGATAAGCACCAACTCCTCAACGCCAAGGACACCGAGGTGCTGCGAGAGTGCGAGGCACACGTTCTCGTAACCAACACAGTCTCGTAGCTCTAGCTTACGCAGTGTTGAGGGATTAAAGTAGCTATCAATGATTGGCAGTGCATTGCACAAGCTAATCCCAGACAGGTCAATCAAGGCCAGCTTCGAACTTTCGTCATTAGGCCTAGGAGGCAGTCTGCTAAATTCATTCTCCAAATCCCAGTCGAAAAAGTAGGACATATGAAGCGTTAGATTCTTCAACCCAGGGGAACCTATAGCTTTGGCAGCAGCAGTCATCTGTTCTTTGGTCCAGGCCTTTCTAATCTCCAGCGATTCCAGATGATGGCAATTCTCCTCCGGGAGCGCCTTAAAAATAGTGTCCGTCTCCTCCCCATCGTCCGAGCTGCGATGAGGATCGAAGGGGAAAGCAACCTGGAGACACCGCAGTTTCTTATGCTTGACCAGTGCATCAACGACCTGCTTATGAGGCGCAAAGCAAGCACCCCAACTATACCAACGCCGAGCCCAGGAGCATGCTTGTTAACCATCTGCGATAATTTCCCATAGATACCTCAAAACCCTCCCCACCCAACCCCCAGAAAGTAGAAGAGGGTAAAAGCAAACAAACCTGAACTTGTCCAAGCTCCCACGTTCAATCTTGTTCAAAACCTTCGCTAGAGACCCACAAACATTCTGCCTCTCATGTATTTCAACAGGATTCTTCAGCGCCGTCACATTGACGGACTTGATCCACTTCTTCCATCTAGCGTCATACCCAGGCCGCAAGAGCGTGTTAAGCAGGTAAAGTCCGGACCTTCCCCTCTCCTCAAAATTGAGGTATAGAGAACGGTACAGTCGCGGCGCCGCAAAATGATACAGAGAGCTAGATGCGAGACATAGACGGGAAAGGGTGACACGATCCCCAGAAGGCACCTAGATTAAGGAGAAAGCGAGAGAAGCGGAATGTAAGCCCCATGTTACCTTTCCAGGAAAGGAAATTATCCCAAAGTAGAAGTGAGAGAAACAACCACGGGAAGTACCAACCTGCCAAACGATGTATTGCAAGATCTCAAGCGGAAGATAGAGTTCACCCATTACGTCTATTCTATCGTCCTCCTATATCGTAGAGGGGGAAGGAAGGCAAGACGATAGAAGGGACGGAGAAGGGGGAGCTTTTGTGAAGAAGGGGGGGAGGGTGAAGTGAGCGTTCCGAAGGTAGGTTGCGAGGGTTGTGGGGGGGGGGAGAGGATAAGAAGTGAGAGAAGAAGAACAAGACTAGGAATCCTTGATAGATAGGCTCACTTCTTCGTCCTCTACTTCTCCTCTCCTCACAAAAGGAATGGTTCACGTGTACCGGGGGGAAA